GAAGTCTATCGAAGACTGGCATAACAGCTTGAAAGAAACTAAGGACAGACTATCTGAACTGGAGGGCAGACTTGTAATATGGGAGAATGAAATGAAAAACTTCTTAAAAATAACAAAGAAACAAACAGCAATAATACAAAGACAAGAAGATGATAAGAGGATCCATAACTTAAGGATTAAGAACATAAAAGAAGAAGTAGGGATGCAAACAAGTGAACTACAAAAGCTACTCACAGAAATAATCCAGGAGAATTTTCCTAATTTAGCAAAAGGTAAAGATACTCAGATGTATGAGGCATACAGGACCCCAGCTACCTACAACCCAAACAGAGCAACACCCAGGCATATAATAATAAAAATTCCAGAAATTCAATACAAGAACAGAATATTAAAAGCTGTAAGAGACAAGAAACAGACCACTTACAAGGGAACACCCATCAGAATTACAGCAGATTTCTCTGCACAAACCATCAAATCATGAAGAGCGTGGGGGGAAATAATTCAAGCATTGAAAGATAATAATCTCCAGCCAAGATTGAGATATCCTGCACAACTGTCCCTGGAAATTGATGGAAAAACAAGGTGCTTCCAGGATAAAGAGGAACTGGGGGAATTTGCAACCACCAATTCAACTCTACAGAAAGTATTGCAGGATATTCTAAAAAAAGAAAAATACAAAGAACCCAGAAATAGTGGCGGGGAGGCCACAACAAATGGAGCAGAGAACAAAATGAAGAAGACAAACTGACAGCTACTGACAGAAAAAGAGCTTAACAGAAATGAGGCAGAGAAGATTGGATGATATAGGAACAGCTATTTTGGAGAAAATGACATCTTAATAGGTAATACTGATTTAGTATCATCTTGTTTTGAAGTCTCATCTAGCTTTTGTCCTTCTGTCTCCAATGGTCTAAATAGGCTGTATCTTATCGGATTTTATTATGTACGATAGTATAAGCAAAAACCTTTTAAAGACAAGGAGATTATACAGAAACCATTGTTCATTTTCTGTTAGTCGATTCTAAATACTCTGTAATGCTGTCATTCTCTTGAATGGTTTTACATTGTTTTGATATACTTAATGCTACAGTATACGAAGTTGTACTCAAGGATTTCAAAGAAAGAAACAATATGGTAACTACTTTTAGGTTAGGATTATCTGGTGGTGAAACACTATTCTGCTTAAATGGTTATGTTTTGATCTGCGCTGTTTCATTGTTATGCCCTCTTTTATCTCAATCTCCACTCCATTATTTACTTTTTTATCTTTATCCTTTTAATTAAAGGAAAAAATAGCAGGATATATTATAGTAACCCATTTTGACTTTTCATTACCTTGATTTAAAGCCCTGTATTACTCTCACCATCTGGTTTTTAACTGATGTTCCCCTATTCTGTTTTGCTGGATAGTATCAGGTTCGAAAGCTTAGGCATCAGCTGTGAAGATAATGAGATTCATTATGACGCCCATTCTTGTTGACTTTTAGCTACTTTTGAAGACCTACAATGTCTCCAATGTTTTGGTTTTGTCGGTTTTATTCTTTACTGTTTTGTTCAATTGTATTATAACTAATGATATAGGCAATTCTATTAGAGATAGCGGGAGACATTATGGTAACCATTGTTGATCACCTGTATTATGTTTTTACATTATCTATTATGTCCACCCTTTTGACTTGACCGATTCTGTTCTGTTATGTCACATTTGGTTTTACTCTCTTCCAAAAAAGTAATAAGAACCGTGGGAGCAATGAAACCCAAAATGTGTAATAGTCATGGTACAAAAGAGAGGAAAAGAAAGTGCTCTAAACTATATAACTGCATGTATATTTAAGTGTATAAGATAGAAAATGATATCACAGAGTTTTATTGGATCAATGAACAGAACTGTTTGCAGTATCATTGATGGAATGTCCACTTTACAAGCTTTAATTTTGTGACTTGAACAATTATTTCTAAGATGACAATATGTAATCCATTAACTAGTGATTTCCTACTGTTCATTTTTTTTCTGTAAATCTGTATAACTTGTACCCTTTCCCTGCTTTTTTTTTTCTTTTCTCCTTAAATAAAATTAAAAAAAAAAAAGAAGTGGGCCTAACTGTGAACTTCACAAGGACAGAGTTGTCATCCAAACATTGGATCTTCTGATCCACAGATAAATAAAGCTTGTTACACGAAGAGAAGAGAAAATTTGTGAGTTCAGTAACCCCATAGATAAGGAAAAGAGAAAGAGGACATTGTAGTTTTGACTCAGGCTACTGGGTGAATAGTGGTGTCATCCATTGCATTAAACAATGGAGAAGGATGAGCAGATTTGTGGGAGGCAGTAGAGAATAATTTACCTTAGGTCATTGAGTTTGAAATGCTTAGGGAACTTCCCAAAGGAATAATGCAGTAGGAGGAGGATGTGCATACCTGGGATTTAGGGACAAGATATGAATACTCAGCTTAGACAGGATGGTGATGCTATGGACAGAGACATCAGCACTGAGAGGGTAGTATAGGGAAAAGGAGCTGAGAGAATCATCACTGATATTTTAGAGTCAGAAAAGAGGAAGCTTAGAAAGAGAAGTATCCATCCGGAAGCAGTCAAAGCTTGGGACAGAACAGGGCTAAAATGTCAGGAGAAGATGGCCAATTGCCACATGCTATGAAGAAGTTAAGTGCAACAAGAAGGACAGAAGGAGCCCCAGGTACCAGTTATGGCTCTGGTGAGAGCAGTTTCAGTGAGAGCTGAAGAGAGATAACAGATAGGTGAGGATTAGAAACTGTAGTGGTGGCAAAAATGTGAGGCTTGGCTGGGGAAGAAAACAGAGAAGTGACCATAGGTAGAGGATCAAGTCATCTTTTCCAGATATTTCTCCCTCCCATCACCCACTGTCTATACCCTGCCTGCACCCACCATTTGCTCTTAGAAAACTATTCCAAGTTTTTTTTAAAGAGAAAAGAAAAGAATACAGCCAATAGGAAAGATGGAAGTCTCCAATAAAGAATGGCTCTGTGCCCACAGAAGCAGCACATTTATAGATCCCCCCAAAACCCCACCTCTCCCTGCACCTTAAGTCATCAGATCTACCTCTCAGATCTGCTAAAAGGCACCCTGCTCCTCAGACTCTTAAACTCTTAACAAGGAAAACAGCAGGACAGGTAAGGCCAGAATCTTTCAGAATCAGGGTGTTACAAATATTTAGTCATTCCTTCCTTTCTTCATCCAACAGTAGAGAGGGCTTTCTATTTTACTACCTATATGCTAGAAATAGTTCTTTGGAAAGACATCCCCAGTTCTCCAGGGTTCTCAGTGTAGTTGAAAAGGTAGAAGAATCCACAGCCATACTACCAGCTGAGACACCATGATGGGAGAAGCCTGGGACCCACAGGAGAGCCCAGTGAAGGCCCCTAATACAGCCAGGCCAGAGAGCCTTCCCCACCACCTAACATGTACTGTGAGAACAAAATACCATCCCTCCTTATTTTTGGTCACCTGGCTCTTTCCTTCATCTGGAAGGTTATAAATTCCCTGACAGCCCTTATAGCCTTATTAACCTATTTTTCTTTTATAATACCTAGTCCAGAAACTTGTAGATAAATAGGTGAGCATAAAATATTAGTGGAATTAATGAATGTATACTAGTAAAGTTCAGGCAAGGTTCTAATTGATTTAATTAGAGTTAAATATCCTAAATAACAGTAGATATGGCTCATTAAATGTTTATTATGGTAGGTATTATGTTTAGTAGTATATAATTTACATTATTTAATCCTCACAGAAACCCTGTATTATAAGATATAGGTACATTAGCAATTTTTAAAAATAAACTATAAAAACTATATTGTTGAAAATATAGGTGAAGGGCTAGGAGTGTAACTCAGTGACAGAGAACTTGCCTAGCATGTGTAAGGTCCTGGGTTCAGTTCCAAGTATTAAAAGAAAAGTTAGTCAACCAAGGTAACACAGCTAATATGGTGAGAGGGCATGTGCAAGATTTGGGTCCACAAAATCCTACTCCAGAGCTAAGACTCAGTCTCTGGATGACATTACCTCTAGTGATCAAGAGAGCCCTCGTGGAAAGTTAAATGTATAATAACTTTTTTAAAATGTGCAAATTCGAAGCTAGGCATGATGGTACACACCTCTAATTCTATCACTCAGGAAGATGATGCAGGAGGATCACTGTGAGTTTGAGGATAGTGAGGGCCATATAGTGAGGTCAAACCTAGCCTGGACAATATAGTAAGACTCTGTCTCAAAAAGAATCTGCAAATTTGAAAACCGTTTCATATTTTAAAGTTACACTAGCCTCACTCCAGGTCCCTATGTGTCTACTATGACCTCTGTCATATTCTGGCTTTTCATTTGTTCTGTATATGATTTATTCCCCATATTATACTGGAAATCCTTTAGATTGTCTTCAGTCTTCATAGCAAGTCAGTACAACAGCCTGCATTTAAATAGATACTTAATACATTTTTGCCAAAATACATACACTATTGTGTTACCATCATGGCAAAGATTTTTTTCACTTATAGCCAATAAAAATTTCTTCTACTTTTGTCATTTTGAAAAGATAGTTGTAGACCAAGGATTGGAAAAAGGGGTGCAACAACTACTATGTGTAAAATACTATCATGGGCCATTTATTTTTTACACATTTTCATTTAACCTTTATAACAACCACATGGAGTAGGAGGTATTATCCAAATCTATGAGGTGGGGAGAGAAGTTTTTAAAGGATCACTTAGGTGCCAGCACGGTGGCGCACACCTATAATTCCAGCACTCGCGAGGTTGAGGCAGGAGAATAGTTGCAAGTTCAAGACCAGCCTGGGCTACAGGTGAGCCCAAGGCCAGCCTGAACTGCATAGTGAGACCCTGTCTCAAAAAGACATAAATAAATAAATAAGTCAAAATGAAAATTAAAGATCACTCAAGTGTGCACTGTGGAGCTGGTGTTAAAATGCCAATATATTTCATGGCAGGTCTTTCTGTGTACTACATAGATGGCTGATTCTGACCCTGGGAAAAGAAACTACGACAACATACTGAGAATGCTGTCAGACTTGAATAAGGACTTGGAAAAGCTATTGGAAGAAATGGAAAAAATCTCAGGTAGGATATTTTTCCAGACAGAATGGTTTCTCCTTCTTTCCAATAGTCCAAATATTCTCTAAACTTCTGAGTTCATGGCAAGTGCCTTCTAATAGGGCCTCCCCTTACCTCCTTTCAACTTGTATGGCAGGCAAATAATAGACCATCAAAATTGATACCACTGAGTTGCCTTCACTTATTTCCTGTATATTTACCTCTTATTTCTGCTATTTTACTGTTGTTGTTTTTTTTTTAAATTTTTGGTACCGGGGATTGAACTCATGATGTCGCACTTGCCAAGCAGGCACTTGTGCTGCTGAGCTAAACCCCCTGCCCTTGTACTATTTTCACTCTGTTCATGGGCCCATTGGACAATGACAAGTGTGGCTGAAGAAGAAGGCTGGCCACTATCCACAGAATGGGTCGTCTTATCTATTTGATTATTGAAGCCTTCTGCTGATGTCACCTTTTGGTGAGCATTTACATGGGAATCAAATATTTTTACATGCTCTGCCCATATGGAGAGGTCCACCCACATACCTCTGCCCTAAATATCCTTTTCACCAGTTTTCCAGTTGTGTTCTTTCCAAGTTCCATCCAGTCAGGCCATTGACTATAGCCCATGAATCAGTGTAGTTTCCCTTTCACATGACCCATGAGTCAGGAACCAGGAAGAAAGTTCAGATTATTCCTTTCCTTTTCCAAGTGATGGTCTTTCTTTTCAACTTCTCTATAGTTTAAATTTTCATGTCATATTCTTCATTCCCTATAAAATCTCTCTTTCTCTGTGTCTCTGTGTCTGTCTGTCTGTCTGTCTCTCTCTCTCTCTCTCTCTCTCTCTCTCTCTCTCTCTCTGTATGTGTGTGTGTGTGTGTGTCTGTCTGTCTGTCTGTCTGTCTCTGTCTCTGTCTCTCTCTCCCCCTCTCTGTTATTTCTACTATCTGGATCTCAAAACTCAGAGATGCTCAGTTGTTGTTGCTTACCACTCCTCCATTTTCCCAGTTCTCCTGCCAATTTGAATAGTTCCAGCGATGCTAAACAGTCAAAGTTCAAAGTCTCCTCTGAGGCTCATGGCAAACACTTAGCTATGAACCCCCATAAAAGTCAAAATATTAAACTTTTCTGATATACAGTGACACAGGGTAATATTCCCATTGCAAAAGAGGGACTAGGAAGAAACCAGACAACAGCAAAACTGAAACCTAGCAGGGCAAACATTAAATCCTATAATTCTGTGTCCGGCACCTGGCACACATTGAGGAAAGATGTGAATTCCAAAGGGCTTGAGCTGCCCTGATCCCATGATCAGGGCAGGTTGTAACCTTCGTGGCCTCCCTCTTAGGGTGGCTGTGCTCATTGCCCGCAATTTTCCTCAGCATACATTCCACATTTCTGGCATCTACAATTTACTGGTATCTATACTGCACTTTTGGCTTCACCCTCACAGCTCCACTTACTCCTTTCTCAGGGTCATACTGCCCTACCTTTCAGGCCTTCTTCTGAAATCTAGATGGAAGCCTCTATGACCTAGTAATTCCTAAATTCTAATGTCTGTAAAAACCAGCACGAAGTGAATGATGTCAAGGTCTGATGCCAACTCAAGCAGTAGTCAGGCCCCTTGGGCCATGATTGCAGAATCCTCTGAATGCCTGGATGACTGAGCACTGTAAAGTTAATCTCAGGGAACCAATCACTTAGACAACTCTTCTTGAGAAGGGGGAATCCAAGGACTCTCTTCTCATATGAAATCCTTATAGTAGTTCACCCCTTTAAGCCTGCCAATAGTGGGGCCCTGATGATCCCCAAGATATTTCCAAGATTCCTTCAAGCCAGCTTTCCTATTATCGTGATGCCATCACCCTTAATCTCAGTCTTTTACAAAGTCTCATGATGGGCAAAATGAAGACAAATTTTTTTGCCAGAGTGTAACACACATGGCCTCTAGTCCAAATACCAGCAGAGTTTTTGTTTCAAACTGAAACCTCCTGAGCCTGGCCACTACTGTCTGCATTTCTGTAATCATTATGGTCTTGAGCTCTGACCAGAATCTTCCATAAAGCTTAACTTATAGCATTCTGAGTCTTCTCTAACCAGCATCTCCAAGCATATCCAAACTTCCCCAGTGAACCACTTCCAAAGGCTTCTGAGCTACACAGTCAGGTATAGTCACAGCAATGACCTGACTCTTGGAACCAAAATCTTGGTCATTTTCCTACCACTAAACACAAACAATATCCAACCCCCACAAATTTAAAGAAGGACAAGTTTATTTTGGCTCAGTTTCAGTCTATGGTCAGTTAGCTCCAAGGCAGAAATAGGATGGCAGAATGGTATGGTGCAGGAAAAAGCATTCAATTCATGCCAGCCAGGGAACACAGAATAAAGGCAGGCATTGGAGGGATACACCCTTTTAGACCAGACCTCACCTCCTACCCAACCTAACGGCACATCCTATTCTGAACTGATTAGTACAGTAACCCCCATGATCCAGTTATCTTCTAAAACCCACCTCTGAACACATGAGGCTTTTTAATTCTAGACTTAAATTATATAAAAACAAAAGTCATACTGGATTAACCCCTACAATGATCTCATCTAAACATAATCACCTCATTAAAGGGCCTGTCTCTGAATCAGTCATATTCTGAGATACTATAGGCTAGGGCTTCAGCAGATGAATTTTGGGAAGAAACAATCTACCCATAACAGTTATTCAATCTTGAAACATTAGAAAAGTAGAAAAGCTGGTTGTATGGCTTTTGCTTTATACAAAAACCCTTGAGAGTATTAAAATAGTCTTGGGTCAGGGGATGCCTCAAATAAAGATTGCCAAATATATGCGATGATAAACCACTGTAAATGCAAGGAAAAAAACAATCAGGGCTGGGATTTAGCTCAGCGGCGTAAGTGCCTGCCTTATAAGCATGCAGTCATGAGTTTGATCCCTGGTACCAAAAAATAAAAAGAAATTTAAAAAGAAAAAGTAGTCAGCATATTCAGTGGATAAGGATCCTCCCAGAAGCATTCACACATGAGGAAAATAATGATAGTAATGTTTTGATATGTGCAAAAAAAATCAGCATGTTTAAACCTGGTATGGTGATATATATCTATAATCCCAGCACTCTCAGAGCCTGAGGCAGGAGAATCACAAGTTTGAGTCCAGTCTAGAAAACTTAACAACTTGTCATCTCAAAATAAGTAATTTTTAAAAAAGAAGTCTGGGGGCTGGGGATTTAGCTCAGCGGCATAAGCACCTGCCTTGCAAGCAGGCAGTCGTGAGTTCGATCCCTGGTACCGATAAAAAGGAAAAAGACAAAAAATAAAAAAATAAATAATAAAAAAAGAAGTCTGGGGCTATAGTTCAATGTGAAGGCCCTGGGCTAAATCCTCAATACCTCCAAAACAAATCAGCATGTTTAGATCTCTAAAAACTGAATACAATATCAGATACAGACCACAACTAACTAAATATAAAATTGTTAAAGAAACCATGGATACAAATAACAAAAATGGATGTAAAAGAAATTCAAGAATGGACAAAGTTGGCTTAAAAATAGGAAATTCTAAAATGAAAAATGTAATTGTGAAATAAAATGGAATAGTCAACAGTTAAGAGAGAATTAGTCAGCTGGTGTGGTGGCTCAAGCCTGTAATCCCAGCACTCGGGAGGCTGAGGCAGGAGGATCTCGCGAGTTCGAGACCAGCCTAGGCTACAAAGTGAGCTCAAGGCCAGTCTGAACTGCACCAGGAGATCCTGTCTCAAAAAAAAAGAGAGAGAGAATTAATTAAATAGAAAACAATGCATCAAAAAATCAAATGATCTGGGTACACAACTCAGTGATTAAACAACACCTCCCCGGCACGAAGCCCAGGGTTCAGTCCCCAGCACCACAAAAAGAGTAAAATAATAAAATAAGAAATAAAAATATGAGAAGAAATTAAGAGATTTGTAATATAGATCAAGAAGGTATAGCATGTTTCTAACTGGGTCTCACAGAGGAAAGATATTAGAGAGACTGTAATGGTGATAGTTTTATTATAATGACTGTGAATTTCCCAGAACTGATGAAAACTGAATCAAATATCCAAGGAATAAAACACCTCAGGCAAAAGGAAATGAAACTTATACCTAGATAGTGAAATTTTAGAATATCAAAGTGAAGGAGAAATTTTTTCAGGAAGCCAAAGAAAAAGAAATCATTAAATGAATGACAATCATATAAATTAGGAATTGGTGGAATATCTAATGTCAGAACTGTGCACCCAGAAAAACTTTCTGGCACTGGCCTATAGTATTTTTTTTACCCTTAGGCAATCTCAGTCTTGGTATGCCAGGAAAGAACAACTGGTTAGAATAATTATGTCACTTTGGCCAAAATGGTACAATCAGCAATAACAATAGCATCAAACACAGTCCAGAAAATGACAAACTGAGGTAACTATTCATTTCCAACCTTTAACATTATGAACTAAATTAGTGGTTATATAACAAAATCTAAAATGAACCACAAAATTATATGCAGTAAATAAGCCCTCAATGTGGCAATGTGAAGAAAATTTAAAAGTGATAAGGGAGGAAAAATAGACAGAAATGGAAGAAATTAGAAGCAAGGCTGGAAGATGAAGGAGGACCATACAAACTGTGGGAAACTGGGTGCAGAAAATGGGGGAAATAGAGAAGGAAGAAGTACTAGCAAGAACATGGGAGAACAACAACAAAATCTAGAAACTGTGTTTGTACCCACATAAAAACAAGAACAAACAAGCCGGACATGGTGGCACATGCTTGTAACCCCAGCGCTTACGAGGCTGAGGCAGGAGGATAACTGTGAGTTTGAGGCCAACCTGAGCTATGTAAGTGAGTTCAAGGCCAACTTGTGCTATATAGTGAGACGCTGCCCTCCCCGCAAAAAAGCAAGATAAAAAAAAAGGGGGGCTGGGGATTTAGCTCAGCAGGGATAAGCACCTGCCTAGTAAGTGCAAGGTCGTGAGTTCAATCCCCAGCACCAAAAAAAAAA